ACAGTTTCATGGAAGTCAGATTAGTTATCAAGAAGCATAAGGCTCATGGGAAGCTAATTTTTAGTCATTACATTGAAGACCCCAGGGAAACTAGCAGAGCTTCCAAAAGCAGCTAGCAGCCCCAAGGATTCAGGATGTCTATTGCTGCTTTTTTTAATACTCCTTCATATTAACCTTACTACTAACCTACTAACCACTATTAGAGAGGTCCTTAGAAACAAAGAAATCATAACATAAGCCCTGGTGAAAAATATATGTTGGTCTGTCAGAGACTGTTGCAATCCAGACACACAGCTGTAAAGGGAAAAAAAGGAGGGTGGGATGGTTAGTGATGTTTCAATCTAAGAAGGAAGATTGGGTGTTAAGGCATTTAGGCGACCAGAACCAGAATTCCTAGCAAGAGTCAGTGTCAGTAACTGAAGAGAAAAAAATCATTATGAAGGGTTTGGAATGAATACATGCCCAGACATGCAGCTCACTTACAGGAAGAGTTCTGGAAAATTGAGAAGGTACATTACAACTACTTGTTACACACATGCTGGGGGAAATCCCATTTACACAGAGTCCTGGGGGGCTGCTTCATGCCCAGTCATTAGGAGGAACCAGATAGCAGATCCTCACCACTCTGACACTAGCTTCAGCACTTGAAGGATATATGACAGCATGAAGGGTAGGTATTTTCTGTGCAGATGTGGCCTGTGATCCTTGTATGCTATAATTTAGTAGATGGTCTTCATGAATTGTTGTTGTCTTCTGCCCCCGACAAATTTATTGCCGGGGGGTGGGGAGGAAGGCTTTGGCGATAAGGCCTCTTTGAATTTAGCTAAATTGATCCTCAGAAAATAAAAATAATAGTCCATGATGAGGCCTGCACACAAAACCTTTCCATCTTGGCAGAACCTGTAAGAGTTTGGCGTCCACCACCGTAGCCCTCAGGAAGCCAGGGCTGTCTAGCTACTACAGTGAGAAACTGGAGTACTCCTGTAGTGGAAGGGGCAGATGGGATATTGGGAGTAGGAATGCCCTGACCTAATAAAGGGAAATACCTATTTGCACTGTTTGGTTTTCTAATGCAAGCTTCTTTCTGTAGTCATATAGCATATGCTGAATATCTTTGACTTTAGGATATGACAAACCAGAAACCTTCAAAGTGTCAAACTTGTAGAATCAGGGACAAAGTGCCTGTGCCACTGACTATTCCCTGTCAGATTATAAATTGTGAGGGTAGGAATAAGGTGGCTTGGTGGATAGAGTGCTGGGCCTGGAGTGGGAAGACTTGAGTTCAAAACCAGCCTTAAACACTTCCTAGCTGTGTGATGCTGGGCAAGTCGCTTAACTGCTATCTGCCTCAGTTTCCTTAACCATAAAATGGAGATAATTACAGTCCCTACTCAGGGTTGTTGTGATGATGAGTTTTTTGTAAAGTATTTAGTAGCGTCCCTGATACATATTAAGTGCTATATAAATGCTAGTTATTATTTTTGCACTTTACCCAGACCTTAGCACAATACTTAGTAAGAAGTAGACACTTAACAGATACTTACTGAATGAATGATTTTTTTCCTATTTTAAATTTCTTTTTTTGCTCTGACAAGGCTAGGCAGTTTATTTGTTCCTTCTTGGTTCAAATCCTGCCCCTGACATATATTGGCTCTATGCTTCCTGGTTACACTCCTGGTCACTCAGCCTTTCTGTTCTCTGAGGAATTCTCAAGATTATAAGTTATAGAAAAGGTGCTAACCTGCACAGGTAATGAGTTCCCTATACCAATGAAATTATTGATCTAGTCCCTATTTACATCCCTTCTTTCATGAGTTTCTTCATTCATTCAACACATATTTCTTAAACATCAGCTTAAGGAACTCTGGGCACTGCTAAAGAGTCTGATGTATTTTAAGGAGAAAGCTTTTCCTTTTTTTTTTTTTTGACAGATTTAGGTAGGACTTTTCCTAAATTTTCATCAATGCTTAGCTGAAAAAGGGGAATTACTAGATTTACTAAGGTTTGTTTTTCCTCTTCTATAAATTATATGTTCTCCCTCAAATTTTCTATAAATTAATTGTTAAGGGCTACCTCACTACTCTGATACCAAACTGGATTTCAGATGACTGTTATAATTATTTAGTTTAATTGACTCCCTAAATTGCTATCAGGGCCCTTCCAAAACTTTTCTTCTGTACAACTTGGGCACATCCCCAACTCATCTCTTAAAGCACATGACTTTGCTTTCTATTTTCCAGAGGAGATGATAATCCGACCTTGTCATTGCTACATTCAAAAATATTCTATGGCTCCCTATTACTTCTAGGACAAAAATAAAACATTCTCAGACCTTCACAATTTGATTCCAATCCAATGTTTCCAGTCTTATTTTATATCCCCACCCTTTCACGTACTGTATTTTTCAAATAGAATACGAGCTGTTCCCTGAACTCTCTGTCTCCCACCTTCACACCTAAGCTGTTTTCCATGACTGGAATGCATTCTCTTCTGATTTTCACCTCTCCAAGTTCTTCTATTCCTTCAAGGTTCAGCTCAAGCAGAATCTCCTTCAAGAACGTTTTCCTGTCTCATTCTCAATGTTTGTCCTCCCTTATTCATGTTGGCACCTACCTCAGCTCTAATATAGGGCGCTTCACGTAGCAGGTGTTTGTTTAACACATGCTTCTTGAGTGAATGAATGCCATCCCCTGGAAGACAGCTGAAAAGATAGCTGCTCTCTCAAAGACAAGAGCAGGATCTGACGAGGACCAGGTAATCAAAGCTCTTGGTTTTTCCACAGAGTTCTCTATGTCTTTTAAAGTACTGGCTCAATTTTTTTAGATGGCTAATGCCAACTCTACTTCATGTTTCCAGGGTAACTTGCACATAGAACTTATCGAGCTTCCAAGATCTGGAACGAATTTCTCTTTAGGTACTATGGTACTTTTTTTCTCCTACAATATTCTTTGCTTTTTGCTGAATAATAGAGTGATACAGAAATAACAAAGGGGAAAAATACAAATGGCTTGCACAGTCTATTATTTAACAGCCTCTGGTCATGGCTAACACTCAAGGAAAAGGTCTAAGGCTTTTCACTGAGTACACCAGTCAGTAAGTAGAGGTGAACATAGGGGCCTAGGGAACTTCTGGTATAACTGATGATCAGTTTGTGGATAGAGAGTTATTGCAAAAGGTTTTGGCACAAGATTACAAAACTGCATGTGTGATTTCAGAATTTTGAAAATTTTAGGTTCATGGTATTTGTACTCTACAATGGTTTCACAGGTAGATCATATAGATCAGTGCTGAAAAGAATTCTTACAATGGCTTTTAAAATGGATTAGCTTAAATCCAATTGGATTTTCTCCTTACTGTTTGTTGGGAACATTTTATTTCTAAACACAATATAAATAACAAGTGTCTTCTCTATGGGAAATTAGATCAGTACCTATCCAAGTCCACCCAGTCAGGAATCTTGTAAATGGGATCAAATTAGGGCAAAGTCTTACACTATTTGGACAATACATTCACTATGTCTACAAAGCTGAAGCCATCACAGGAAAAAACACAATGGAGAGTTTTGTAACACACAGGGAATACAAAACACAGCACAACAAAACAAAACAGGAACAAAGACCACGTGAGACATGATGTCCATGCTTTTGTTCCTTGCAGATGTCGCCCAATCAGCTCTCAGAGAAGTGAGGTCAAACAGGGACCACTTTCATGCATGCAGCAATGCTGGGGGTTATTTGTGTTAGTTTTCTTTTGGTGACACACCCAGGCAACTTGCTTCCCAAGTTGCTGTTCAAGGCAAAGACTCTGTAGACACAGAGAGGGATGGAAACACCTGTGGATCTTCAGGGCAGGTCTGAAATTGGTGAATGCCAGGGAAAGCAATGGGGGGAGATTTTTCTTCTTCTTTCTTTTGGCGTTTCTACTGAAAATGTTTAATAAGGCTGCTATCGTAACAATATCAACTGATTATCTTGTGGCTGCTCAAAGCTTCATCAGGCTGTCCTTTTATTTCCTGTGATATCTGGTTAAATCATTTGCTTCTTGGTTAGACAGAGATCTCCACTAAAGGTAACTGCTAAGTGGGCTAGGCTAATTCTTTTCTCTGCCTAGGAGAGGCACACTTTTGAAAAGTGATACCTCCAGAGGGACAATCAAGTTGCTTTGAATTCCCTATACTTATATCTTAAGATGTTTTAGAAAATTAAAAAAAAAAGAGCCAGAATTTAATCTGCATGTGTTTCATGCTCAAATCATTCTTTCCGTCCTAGACAAAGTCCTCTTTTGGATCAGGGGAGTTTGAGGTGTAAGGGCCCTCAGAGGTCATCTAGTCCAACCTTTTAATTTTACAAATGAGGAAATGAAAACCTAAAGAGGTAATGTGGCTTTCATATAGTCTTGGAGGTAGAAATAGAGCCAGGGTTGGGACCCAAATCCAGGGCTCTTTCCAGTGCTGTACTGCCATTTCCTAAAATTTCCTGCTGATATGAGGTCGATTTTCAATTTTCAACAAAAAAAAATGCACAAATGTAGTTACTTTTAAAGTAATACCTGATCTTTTAGTACCTCCAGACAGAAACAATGATGATGATGATGATGAAGAGAATAATAATAAAATTATGGATATGAAACCAGGTAGTGAAAGTAAGAGCTTTTTACTATGTGCCTGGGACACTGTAAGGGCTTAATAAATGCTTGTTAAGACTGACTCGCTTGGTGGAGATCTTTTTATTCCAGAAGTGGGGTCACTCAAGCTTGGGTTCTAGGTTGTGGGTTATACCTGCCCTACCGTGAGTAGGAGTTGATGGTATCCAAATTCACTGGAATAGGGTGTAAGCCAAAGGCATCATGGCAGCAAGGAGAAATTCTGAATTCTGCATGCAGATTGAGGGCAGGGATGATGCCATCTTTGGGGAATTTGAGAGAGTGACCATCCCCAGGCCCCCAGTGGTGAGGGTCTGGTCCCAGGTTTATATTCCACGAATCAGAACAAAGAATTTTACCTTCTGTTCACCACCGTGGACGACATCGTCAGCACCATGCAAGCCACATGACAAAGTCACATGATACGCACGTACATGATTTGGTTGAAAGGAAAGTAGAGGAGGTCACATGGAAAATACAAAAAAATTAAAAAACTGATGTAAACAATGGGCAGGGAAAAATCAACCACAAAAATCACACACTGAATAAAAGGGGAAACCAAATTAAATCAGCAGCATATATCATATACATCCAGAAAGACAGTAAAAATTGCCTGGAAAGAGAAGAAAACTGTAAAACTATGGAAAGCGTTAATGGTTAAGGACATCACTAGGGGTTAGGCACAGCAGAAACACTGCTTATGGACACCACATCAAGGAAGAGCGAGTGAACTTTTATTGGGATGGAGAGATGTATTCCCACCAGGGTACGGATGTCAAGAGGCATTCCAGGAGACTGTTAAAGGAAAAGAGAGAAGCAAGACATTATTCAGAGATTTCAGCAGCATCCTCAACATCCTGGAGAAGAAACAGTCATGGGGACCATTCATTATTTATCAGTTTGGGAGAGGGGAACTCAAAACCTTTTAAGAAGTGGTTTACATTTCTCTTGATTCAAGTGGAGAATGGGGAAGAAGAATGTTTAATTTTACCTTGGTGATAACGGATGGTATGCTTGGAGAACCAGGAACAGGCCTGAAGTAAGGAGGGGAAGCTTTGCTTAGAATTCTAAATGGTTTTTAAAGTACCCTTGGTTCACTCTTTGCTCCCAAGATGGCGGATAGGCCATACTCCATGAGCTCCATAGGTTAGATCACGGGATCATAGAAAAGTGTTAGATCAAAAGCTTTAAGGCTGGAAGGCACTTCTGAGTACATCTAATCTCATCCCCTCTCTCATTGTACTGTGTGCTAAGTGATTTGTCCAAAGTCATATGTATAGTAATCAGTCATCGCAAGATTTGAACCCAGCTCATCTGACTCAGTCATCTGACCAAGCCAGTGTTCTTTTCACTGCACTGCATTTGTGAAAGTTAATGCACCAGGAACACATGGCTAAACATATTGGGTTTTATCAATAAGTAAAGCCCTTTAAATCTTTGTTCTTTGTCAGATTTTTTTTTCCTTTTTATTATCCACTAGCTTTATTGCCAGGGCTTTTCTTTGTATCTATAGTGCTCAGCACAGCGTCTGGCATACAGTAAATGTTTAATAAATCCTTCTTGACTGATCCCTTTCACCTTTTCATCTCTGCTGAAAAGACATCCATTTCTTTCTTTTCTATTTATACTTCCTTCTACTCTAGCAATCACTGGTCATTCTTTTGGTTGGCCTTCATAGTTTAGTATAGAGATGAAGGCCCTTCCATGCTTTTTTTAAAGAAACAATTTTGTGACTGTCTTCTTTGTATACAGACAACTAATATACATGTTTCTCACTTATAATCCTAAGATCCTAGGTTCCAAGACCCACATCAGACATAAAATGAAGTGGAAAGAAGGGAGTGGGTTCTTCCTCAAGGGTTCAAACTACAGCTTCTGTCAACACTCACTGTGAAAGGCTAGTAAGACAAAAATGCATTGTTCTTGTGTACTCTGTAAAGCAGAAATTTTACCCTCAGCTCAACTGAGTTGGCTGAGAATTTATTTAAACAAATACATGTGACTGTAGATAAAATGTTTGATATATGTTTTTAGATGAATGGCTATGTTGTCAAGTTCCCAATTCAATATTTATAATATGGAGGATGAAGGGAATGGATAGTTGCCCTTGGCTGAATTTATCCACATTCCACTATGTTCTGCTTATGAAGTGAAGCTGACATTTCCAAACACATTTCAAGCCTCAATTCCCTTCAGCATATACAGGCCATGGACAGTTTTTGCAATTTTATTTTGTAATGTGATGGCCATGGAAGAGAAGTATCCAAGTGGGTGGGGAGTTAGGCAGTCTAGGATAGAATTCTTGGTAAGTAGCATACTACCATTTTTAATTTAGATCAAAAGAGGAGACTTGAGTAAAGACATAGGCATAGTGACCATATTTCCCAACATGGTCTGATAAAAGGTATTCCAATGAAATAGTATCCTTAAAAGCACTCTTTCTTTACTTTGAAATCAAGACTTTTTAGGGAAGTCCAGTATGAATGGTTGCCACAGACCTAGGTCTGCTCCCTACTCCAATATTCTGTGACTCTGAGGGTCTCTGAGCTGAAGAAGATAGTTCCATTCATTCCCTGGTTCTCAGGAGCCAGGACTTATTAGAATACACAGTAAGACTGTCCTGAAAATTCAAATCACATTAGAGGACTGGAGGAGGGTACATCAAACTATTTGTGTCATCTTCTTTCATTTGGGTAACTACTAATTATAAAAGGTACCAAAGTATATATAAAAAAAGCAACAGAAAATAGCTTATCTATTCTCAAATCCCATTTTCTTCTATGTTTGCCTACAAGTATCCTTCTCTTCATTCCTAATAACTTCCTGTTGTTTGTTTGTTTTTAAATTTGTCTTCCCACCAGTGGCTATCATCATGTTAAGCTGTGATCTCTTTATTTTGGTACAATGTCTACCAGGAGTTACAATTCTGCGGGTCAAGTTGCTATAAAACATAAAAACGAGGAAGGTTACATTCATACAAAGTCTTGATACTACAAATATTTATCTTAGAACAGAAAAGGATGATTTGAACTTCTCCCTTCCCCCTAAAATGAAGGAAAAGCAGCAAATAAAATCAAGGCATTCCTTCTAAAAGGAAAATCTGGGTGCATTTCTTTTCTTCTAAGGAGAAAACATTTAACCTAAAATGATTCAGTATGTAATATGTAAAACAACTTGTACAAACTCAAGTGTAACATCTAGACTTCTATTACTTCATGACAGACACACATATTGAACTCAAATTAGAAAAGGACAGGAACAAAATCCTTTGCTGTAAGAAATGAAGGCTCTGTTAGTTGTATTCTTTACCCAAATGCAAAAAGCCATAGCCTGAATTCAGCAGAGATATAAACACACACACACACACACACACACACACACACACACACACACACTCATTGCTACTCTCTGCTCTGCTCTCTAGCAAAATGAAACATTTCTACTTCAAAAGCATCAGGAATTAAAATTCTGTGTAGTGCACACACAAGGAAAATGCTGAGAAAGGAGGCCGTAAGCCATGTTCTTGAGCAGAAAAGGAACAATTTCATGCAACACATCAAACCACAGAAATCTTCTTATTCTCTGTTCACATGGAATGGAAATCTTGAGGGTGAGGAGAGGGAAAGATACGTGCTTTATACCTCTAATTTTTTTGGCTTTTCACACTCAAGCATAAAACATATAGTCATATAAGAATGAATATGGTTTAATTTCACTCCACATTCACAGTTAATTTTTAAAACCACAGGTCTGCTATTTTTCTTATAGCTTATTCACTGCAATGCACACCCATGCTATCCTGTCAAGGAACCTACGTCCTCAACATCCAGGATCCTTTTATCATGTCATTATGAATAAATATGAGCTTGGAATAGAACATCACCAGTAAGACTTAGTCCCTACTAAAAGCTCAGCTGAAAGTTAAGGGATATGATCTGTGTATGCAAATACAAAAAGGTTTTTTAAAGTGTGGGGAATTCATGGTACTAAGATACATTATGATCCATCTATCTACTAAGATATCTACATCTTACTTACTAAGATAAGCCTTAGGGGAATTTCTTTAGAGACTTACTGGAGGTTAGTTACTTAGCTAGTGAACGTCAGAGGCTGGATTTGAACTCAGCTCTTCTTGACTCCAAGTCCAGCATTTTATCTACTATGGCCCAGTTGCCTCTATAATTTATATATACTTCAAATGCTAGCTATAATGACGATGAGGAGGAGGACATAAAATACTGTTCTTCTGTAAATATGAATATAGAGTTATTTCTACTTGTCCTCTGGACGTCCAAGTAGCTCGTGATCTTTGTGATGGTAAATAATATGAAAGCTCAAGAGGAGACGAAATATTTCTCCTGACCAATGTGAGGCTCCTTCCGAGCTCTGTTCCCATGCCCTGGACACAAAGAGACAACATGTCACCAGAAAGCAGCTATTCCTCGCTCCGTCCCGATTCTCACGTCACTTTCCACAAGATCTCATTTCTCCCCGATGCTTCCTTCCTTCCCTCTCATTTTAAAAACATTTTGCACTTGTTTTGGGGAGAAAACACCCCAGGAGGTGCTCTTCTTTTATCTCATCCCTTCTCTTGGGCCCTTCCTCTGTTCAGCCTGACAGTAAACATGGAATTGACATTTCATAGACAGGACATCCTTGTAATGATCAATCCATGCATTCCTTGCTTAAGGAGTGTTTGCCCCCTTGACAAAGGAGACAGAGCAGCATGCTTAGGTGACCATGCCAGGCTTAGAGTCTTCATGCAGTTATAACTTGCTGCTTAATGAATGAGTAAATTGGGGTGGGGTCTGCTCTCTGTCAAGTGACACTCAGAGGTCTGGTTGAGAGCAGCTATTTTGCGTACTCACTAGTTGGTTCAGCTGGAAGGGCAGGAGAAGGCCAGGTTGCTATGGGAACATGAAGGATAGATAGGACATAGAAAGGTGAAGCAAAGCATGGAGATAAATTATAGATTTGTTTACATATGCATATATGTGTGTGTGTGTTATGTGTTTAAAGGTATTGTAACAAGGTAAAGATGGTGACAGTTAAGGATAATTTTTCTTTCTTCTCCACAGGGAAGGATTTATAAATGTTGAATGGGTATTTTTTTTTTAATGGAAATTATTTAGGTATTTTAATGAAAAGGCCTGGAAGTGATAAGAAGAAAGTGTGAGGTGGTGGGATGAACCTAGCCAGGGGTGGGGCACCTGCGACCTCAAGTCCAAATGTGGCCTTCTAGGTCCTCAGGGCCACATCTGGCCTGGAGGCCATCTGTACCTAGACCAAGGTGAGAAGGGAAGAGGGGTTCCAAAGCAAGCCCTCCATTGTCTTCCCGTTCCTAAGCCCCCTACACGGTAGCAGACGAGCCAGTTTCTAACAGTCAAATGGTGGCCCCTTCCCTGGCACATCTGTGGCCTTCTGCAGTGGTACCAGGACACTACCATTATTGTGTACCTACCCTAATGGTCTGCTAACTTCTGCTTTTGCCCGAGGTGACACTTCAGAAATCACCGTGGTGGGAGCTCTAAAGTTAGCAGAGCAGTCTGCCCTTGATTCCCATGCTCTCAAGAGTAGCTGAACGAAAGCAATCATGATCATAAGATGCAGTGGAATCAGAGATGGGCAAGGCTCAGCTCGAGTGACTAGGAAATACTATTGATAGGTCTATTGGAACTCAGCTCAGGGTAGGCAAAATGGGGTTTGAAATCTTTAGACTCAACCATTACCACCACAGCATAACTCAGGAAGGAGCCGTTACTCCCATTTTACAGAAGAGGAAACTGATGCACACAGAAAGTAACTGGGGTGACTTATTTCTAAGTAACCTTATTGCCAGGCACAACTGTGTTCAAACACGAGGCCAGGTTCTCCTCTCCTACGCCACTGACACAAATATTACTGAGAATAGATGCATTTTTAGGTAAGACAAAACCTTTTTGACTCATTATCTACTTTTAAATTCTGTACCCAACAATGTTAATTAAAATACTGTATAAAAAAGCCACCCCCAAATGATTTTTTTTTCTGTTCTTCCTCTCCCCCCTACACCTCAGTACACGTTTTTCTTGGCTATTTTTTGGGGAGGGGAGGAAGTATTAGGCCAAGTTTCTCCTCCACATGTCAGTTCTGGCCTTACTCCACTGAGGATATGCTAAATACTACAATACAGTGGTGGTGTTAGAAACAGTGCAAGGGCTTCCTGCACAGAGCAGTGCATTTTAATTACTCTCTTCCTGAGAAAGCTCATTTCCTGTGACTCGGAGAAGCCTGATTCCTCTTTGTCACGAGGTTTGTTTCCCTCCAGCCCAACTTGTGGTATCTACCATCCAGATACCAACTGAGTTGAATCATTACCTGGCTAAGGAGATTACATGAGGCAGACTATTCTGCAGCTGGTGGAAAGCAACATGCAGAGAGACGGATGGGGGAAAACGATACTCACTGTCTGAGGCAGACAATGTAGCATGGAAGGAAGGACTAGCAGGAGTCACTACAGAAAGAGAGATGAAGGTAAAAAAGGGATGTCATTTCACCAGAATACACAGCTACAGTATGGAAGCCAGAAAGGCAAAACCCAGGGATGCCAGAATGAGCTAGGGAGGGGAAAAGAATAAGGATGTGCAGGAAAATAAAGCTAGTAACAACAAAAAGCGAGGGCCACAGTCTCACCGTCTTTAAACCAGAAAACCATGAGGGTGCCAGATCCTGTCACTTAGGTAAGAGGTTTCATTTGGGAACATCTGCTGGGGCCATAAGAATTCACCTAAACAAGAAGCCAACTTCATAGGAGCAGCTGTCACTGTAACAATATCGGGTTGAGGGGGAGGGAGGCGTACAGAAAATTACTTCAAAGCCAGTCTAGGATAGGTAGGGTTAAGGGGAAACAAGTTTTCAACAATTTGGTTCCTTGTTCGGGGTCAGGTCTTACATTCCTACTGAACTGAACTATAGGTTTCCTTCCTTTACATTTAAGGATTTGACTGATATAGCATTTGAAAAAGTTAAGCTATTTAATTTTTTTTTTTTATCATCAACTGGTAGACATTTAATGCCTATTTATTTTATTTCTTTATTTTTGGCTAGGCAATGGGGTTAAGTGACTTGCCCAGGGTCACATAGCTAGTAAGTGTCAAGTGTCTGAGGACAAATTTGAACTCAGGTCCTCCTGACTCCAGGGCCAGTGCTCTGTCCACTGCGCCACCTAGCTGCCCCTAATGTTTATTTTTTAATGGAATCATTGACAATGGACCACTTAGGTGTACACACATACCTCCACCTCCCCACTCTCTTAATAAACATCCCCATGCCAAACTTTGAATACTTGAATCGCCATGGGGTATATGACTTGTGATCTAAAAGATATTTCCCTAAACTTTCCCATAGAAAAAGAAGGTTGAGAAAGGTGGGAGGAAAGACAATCAACCTTGTGGTTTTTTTTTTTTTTGTTTTGTTTTTTAATGTGAGCAGTGTTCAGTAGCTTCCACATTTCAATGCTGAATATGTAAAGGATGTCCCACAAAATAACAAGTGGCTGAGCTCACTCTGGAAACTGGGTTTCAACTTGGACCAGGTAGAAGGAAAGGCCCATTAACATATAACCAACACATCTCACTGCTTTGATTAGATCAAGAAACTCATGATTTGGTCTTCATTGTACTTCCAGAGGTGGGCACCTCAACCATGAAATTAAAAATCCATTCAAATCAAAATAAGAAAAACAATTACCACAGTGTGGAATTTGAGATTTAGAAAACTCAGGCAAAAGTAAAAATTTTGGCTTCAATTACTGAGATAATTGCCTAAATGCTTGACTTAGGCGACATGCTAGATTTTTATGTGCTTTTACCACAACACCTTGCTCCGCATTTTGTTCTTATTTAAAACCATGCAATCTTGAGGGTACCATGTAAAGAGAAAACACTAAATTACAGTCATCCTGGATCTCCATCTCCATTATAGGAAACCATTTTTCCTGTTTTGGTCCTTAGCATAGCAGCAAGTGATGAGGTAGTATCCAGGCAATTAAATTCTAAAGGTTAGTGACTCAATCATGGGGGAAGACTTATTGACAAATTTTAACACCATCTCTTTAGTCCTGCTTTCTCTTTGCAACTCCAAAAAAGTAATTAGCCTCTTCTTAATCAAGGCTGGATCATGTGCTTTCAATCTAGAAAGAATTTGTTGGCACACAGATACTTGCTAAACACAAAACACAAACAGTACTCACAAAATGAGGCCCACTCCCAAAGCCAACGCTTTATTTAAGTGTTTGGAATGACCACCCCTTCTTCCCCCCACAGGTAAGAAATGTCTAGTAAACTGGTATTTCAGGAGGAGGATGGGTCTTGTTTAAGTATTTGTGGCCCTGGTAAATTTGATTTACCGGTATCCTGCAGAAGCTTCATTACTTTCTCATGGTAATGGAACAGAGGATTACAACAGAGAAGCCAAAATCAGTCACCTTGCTGAAGAACGTAGAATTAAAGCTGGAGACTTTAAAAGTCTTCTGTTCCAAGTGATTGGCTCAAGGTCACAAGAGTGACAAATCTGTGATTCAAACCCTAGTCCCTCATACTCAAAAAAGTTATTTGTGTGGCCAGGTCATCTTATGAATAGCAAAGACATTTGAAATCAATATTTTCTCATGAGACACGAAAATGCAAAAGGGTTATAGATTTAGAGTTGGTCATAATGTCCAACTCCATCATTTCACAGATTAGGAAAATGAGGCCAGAGAGATTAAAATATTTGCCCAAGCTCACACAGCACTGGCTTTAATAGAACATCTCCTAACCTACTGAATTCTGAGGTATCAGACAGAAAATTGGACCCTAGTCAAGATGTTAGACCCCACTTTTTTCTCTCAGAAAAATCCTGAGGCTTGGGTCCTGCCAGAGACTAATACCTTTACTGTAGAAAGGAATTATGCATCTGTATCTGTTTTTACTTTATCCTTTGGAGGACAGGTATGCCAGTGCTGTAATCTGGGTTAGTGTTCTATATTAAAGTCATTAGTGAAGTGGGCTCCTTGTGAGCGCCTCACCATCTTCTAAAGATGGCCTATGCATATATGATTTTGCTCACACTAGCTCACACAACCCTCTTGTTTTCCAAAAGAACTGAATTCAGTATGGTTCAGCCATTACTGAAATTCATTACTCCCTCCTAGAAAAAATATGTAGGGTTTCATTACAGTTAGGGGAACAATTACTTGTCTAATTTATTCTTCTTCAAGATAAGTGTGGATGGCAGCAGAATATTCCAGGGGTTAAGTTTTCTCCTAAGCTGAGTGTGAAAGGTAAGACACCTCCCTAAAGCACATCTTTAGTCCTGTTTTTCAGATATATCTCCTTTTTTCCACTCTGCCCCTCTTCAGGCCACTCCTTGCTCTGCTGACATGAAAAAGCATTCTCTTATCTCTATGACTGTGACTCTTGCAGTTTTCCTTTTAACTCTTTAGCCATAATTTTAAGATATGATTGAGGGAGATCCACTTTTATTACTCAGCTAATGGCCCTGAATCTAAAAGATATTTAATTCCTGCTGCCTCATCAATTTCATGGTCAACATGGACTGGGCAGCTGACCCCAACATTTTCTAAATCAGATTTTTGAAGACTTGAGCTATCAATGATCCATTTTCAACCCACTAGAAAAACTAAGAATTTAAATGTCTCTCCTTTTTATTTAAGAGTCTTTTAAAATTTAGTAAGTTATTTAAGAGTTTCACTTAATCAAGAACTGGACTAATTTTGGTTGGCATTTTTGTTTAAGATGGAAAATCAGACACAGTAAGTGATTTGGTATTAAGCCATGAACTACTGAACTAGTGATTCAGAAGAAGGTCTTACTCCTTTTTTGACATATCTGAGCCAGCATTCAGCCAAGAAGATGAAACCTAGGAATTTCATTTTAGGAACAGCCAACTCACCTGTCTATTTAGGAAAGATGGTTGCTGTCTGCCTCCCTCCCTCCCTCTCTCTCTGTCCCCCAAAAGTTGCTCTTAGACCCACTAATAGAATAAAATACCAATCTACAACCATTGTCAGTCAAATTTGACACCTCCTTCTCTTCCACTCTGGCTTCTTTCATATCTCTTTGTCTTAGGATCCACCCTGATGAGAGAGTGAATTTAACATTCACTAGAAATCTGAGGACATTCACACTTGCTACTGAGTTTTTGCTGTTGCTGCAATACTTTGGAATAAATGAAGACAGACTGGTCTGAAATCTTTAGGAGCACTAGCTTTAGCACCAGAGCTCGAGGTGTTTTTTGACGGTATTTCCTTTGGTATAGTTTTGTACTGAACTTCCTTCCTCTACTCTCTGGCATTCTGCTTCTATAGAAAGGGTAAACTCAACCTAGAGAGCAAGAGTGGGTTTATCTACATTACAGATTTCCCTCCTCAAGGTTTTCATTATAATTCTGGCATCTTGAAGAATAGGATGCCTTTCTCTTCCCTTGTCACCCTATGTGTTCTCTACTTAAATCTCACAGCATTAATAGGGATGGCCTTTCATTCCTGGTTGACCAGTGCTACCTAGATTGTAAAACACTGATGGCCATTTATTGCACAGCAGAAAGTCCTGGGATGACTAGAAACCAGAGAATAAAATTATTTGGAGCTGACAGTCCAAATTCCTAAATAACCACTTTCATAATGCTGTCCCCGTATCTTATGTTCTGTAATACACCATGCCCATAAAGTCAGGGCTGTATGCAGACAATTACACCTTTACAAATCCAGGTGTTGCATAAGCAGCTTCTCTTCCAACTGGATTTCTATTACCTTGAGTTGATGCCTCTTGGCTGCCATGAGATGGTCTATAGTAAATGATGTCACAACAAGTTCATTTTTCTCTCCTACAAGTGAACATGGAAATCTCCCCAGATCGCTATGACCTTTGGGTGACATACCAGGACAGGGCAAGAGAGAAGAAAAAACTGTGTTCTCTTTTCTGGACAATTAACTAACATTAGAAAGGGTAAAGATATGCTATTTGGTTATTCCTTATATTTTAAGACATCCTTCTGCAACACACGGCAGGTAAGCAGTGATTTTTGCCATAGAGAAACTCACGAGCAAAAAAAAAATACACATTAAAATACTGCATGCTCTAAAATGGGAATTGTTAGCCTCCTGGTATAACCAAGACAGTCACATTAACAGGAACACGATGGCTACACTAGTGTCAGTTTTGTTAGGACCTGGACAATATAATCTACTTCAGTTCCTACAGGGCAAAAAATGAAGTTTCGAGCTAAATTAAAAACTATGACAAACATATGTTAACATAATACTATGGAAACAGGCAGAGAGGTATGAAGAGGCACTTACGTGAAGGAGGGGTGTCTGCAATTTCCCACGGATGGAACACAGAAGAAAAGAAAAGACAAAAGACAGACCCAAGGGGAAAAAAAATAAAAGATGTAAAAGAGATGAATAGAATTGGCAGAGTGCATGGAGCTGGAAATCAAACTCATATCTGTGTTCAGTGGAAATCCAGCTAAAGATACAATTCTTGCAGAAAGAAGATATGGCAGGCTTTCTATTACTGTGCAGGGATGAGGTTGATTACTTCTGCAGTCTCAGGTATCAATCTAACGTAACTTCTGGCTTCACAGGAAAAGGACTTGACAGATTCCAATGGGTGTTCTCTAATTATAGCAGTCAGAGGGGGTGTCCTGGGAACTCTGAGACCATTCAAGAAAGGTCCAATTGGCAAGGAACATTTCCAGAGCTTGGGAGACCTCCAAGGCAAGGGTCTTTGTGTGAGGGAAAGGATACTATTCCAGTAGGATATTACCATAGCAAAGTGAGAAAATGTTTGGTGTTGAGGAAAAGAATAGTATATGGGTTTGTTTGTTTGTTTTTCTTTCTGTATTCCCTTGGGGAAACGAATAGAAGGAAATGCTAAAAGGAAACACTTAGTGAAGCCAGGAAGAATTAGGGATCCTAAGTCTTTGATGAAGGCTAAATGGAAGGAATATTGCACTAAATTATATTCCACTATTTATGGTCAGGTACAGGAGGGGAAGCTATTAAGGAGCAAGAGGGGGATACAACCATATCTTTTTTATTTGGCCATGACACTTTTTTTTTGCCCTTGTTCATATATGCCTCAAGGGTGTTTATTTTTGGGGCAAATTAGTATCCAGGTTGTATTTCAAAAACCTGAGAACTGATGGAGTCAGGTGGTAAGAACAATTTCTGGATAGCACTTAAATTTAATTGTGACTATGTTCACTCTTCAAATGGCAGGATATTTGAGATACATGTGATGTGTTAAGTTATAACTAGCAAACCCCAATGTGATGAGCTGTTTAATTTTTGTTTGTTTGTTTTACTGCTATGCTGCTGGATTTCCTCCCTGTCTGGCATTCAAACAAACTATACTAGCTAACATGACAACATTCCCTTGAGAGAGGGAGAAAATTACAGTAAGATGTGCATCCACAATCAATGTGGGCCAGAGAATTGAGAGGTGGGCCGCCATGAACAGGGAGATCTGAAAAAGAAACAGCTGTGGTCTTCACTGCCAATCAGGGTAGCTATTGCTCATAAGACAGCAAGTGTAACAGTGGGGAGGGAAGTGGGTGAGCTGGCTTTACTTACGGACTGGCTGTGTTTTGAACTCGGAGACCCCACTGATCTCCCCCAATCCCTTTCCATTGAGAGCAGACAGTCGGATGGCATAAGTTGTCTCAGGCTTCAGGCCCATGATGGTGATGATACCTTCCATGTTTGCTGTTGGGAGCACACGAGAGAAAAAAGGGGAGAAGGAAAGGATCACAAATGAACCAAGAGACATTTAACCAAATCATAACCCAGAGGAACAGGCCACAATATCACAGAAAACTCAGAGGAGAGTTTGAAAGTCTTAGCACTGTGGTTTGTTTTTTACTCTAACCCTGAGGTCATTCCAAATATGAAACTGAAAAAGGTTGATGAAGGTATCCGGGGTGGAATTATTCTTCTGTACAAAGTGGTTCGTAGTCTCTGGCTATTGACCTTATGCTTCCAAACTGTCTCACTTTCTTCTAAAGCCACTCTGATCCCACCCTGGGACTGCACATTCTTATAGGAAACAAAACTCACTTTACTATATATTAAGATGGAATCTGAAAGACATTAGAATTAGGAAGAGGTTTTATATATATGTATATACTTATACCCACATAAATGTATACATATATACATACACATACATGCATATATATATACTTTCCTCAATCATGCTAGCAGAGGACAGTGCTATCCTAAACAGATTATCTATCAATCAATTCATCAACATACATTTATGAAGTACCTACTATATGTTAGGCACTATGCTAAGTGCTAGGGATACAAAAAGAGGCAAAAGACAGTCTCTGCCCTCATGGAGTTTGCAATCTAATTGTACAATCTAAATGTGAAACAACATGCAAACAAATACATACAAGGCAAGCTATATACAGGATAAAGAGAAAATAATTAACACAGGGAATTAAGAGGGGCTGGGAAAGACTTCCTGCAGAAGGTGGGATTTTAGTTGGGACTTAAAGGAAGCCAGGGAGGTCAGTAGTCAAAGCAGTGGAAGGAAACCATTCCAGTAATAGGGGATAGCCAGAGAAAATGCCCAGGGCTGAGAGAGGGAGTGTGTTGTTTGTGGAACATCCAGGAGGTCAGTGTCACTGGACTGAAGAATACGTGCTGTGGAGTAAGGTGTAGGAAGACTGGAAAGGTAGGAGAGGGATAGGTTATGGAGGTTATGCCAAACAGAGCATTTTGCATTTGATCCTAGAGGCAATAGGAAGCCATTGGAGTTTATTGAGTAGGGGGGTAACATGATTAGACCTGAGCTTCAGGAAAATCACTTCAGTGGCTGAATGGAGGATGGATTGGAGTGGGAAGAGAATTGAAGCAGGCAGATCCACCATCAGGCTATTGAAACAATCCAGGGTGAGGTGATGAAGGCCTGCACCAGAGTGGTGGCAGTGTCAGAAGAGAGATGGGAGAGTATACTAGAGATGTTGCGAAGGTGAAACCTATAGGCCTTGTCAAGAGATTGGATATGAGAAGTTGGACAGTGAGGAATCCAGAATCCAAGGTTGTGAGCCTGAGAAACTGGGAGGATGGTGTTGTCCTCTACAGTAACAGAGAAAGTAGGAAGGAGGAGAGGGTTTAGGGGGAAAGTTCACCTAAAAAGTCATTTGGAAAACTTTATAGGACTGTATGTATGCTAGCCTCAGCAGATTTATCTTCTGCTGTGTGTGTGTCTAATATTAAAATAAAATTGCATTTGCTAAACTCATTATCTGATAATTGGATAATTGGTGGTAGCTGTGACTGTGCAGGACAGAAAGGGTTATGAATTTGTACCAGATATTTCACAAAGTAAACCCACAAGCATTGATCAAGCACCTATTCTGTGCCAGGCACTGGGGATACAAATACAAAAAATGGAACAATCTCTCCTTTCTAGGACCCTATGATATGAGGCAGGTAATGGAGAATGGGAAATAAGGCCAAGACTGTTTTGTTGCTGCCCTTGTATCTGGTGCCCAGCATACAGTAGGTTCTTTAAAAATGCTTGTGGGATTGAATGGTAATTACTTTTATAATTCCCATTTTACAAATGAAGAAACTGAAGCTTAGAAAATGAAGCAACTTGGAGGCGGAGCCAAGATGGTGGAGTGAAAGCAGTGACTTGCTTGAACTCTCCTCCAAACCCCTACAAATACTCATAAAAAATGGCTCTAAACAAATCCTGAAGCAGCAGAACCCACAAAAAGACAGAGTGAAACAAATTTCCAGCCCAAGACAACCTGGATGATTGATCAGAAAGGTGTATCGCGCCGGGCTGGGAGCGCAGCGCAGTGTGGGAGCGCAGGCCGCCGGGGAACCTGGAGCAGGCCTCAGAGGACTGAATCTCGGGAAGCTGTGGCGGTTTCCAGACTCCTCAATCTGCCAATGCTAAAGACAACTTAGAAGGTCAGTGGGAAAAGTCTGTTTCTGTTGGTGCTGAGAAAGGAAGGCGGGGTTTCAGCTCCATTCCCCAAAAGCCTGGCGCTGGGGGGGCAGCTGCTTCCCGAACTTCCAGCCCACAGACTGAGGGGGAATCCAGTGGCTGATCAGAGAGGGATCGCAGGGATCTCTTTGCCAGTGCTGAGGCAGGAATCTCTTACTTTGCCCGTGTTTGGATCTGGGCCACAGTTCTGGGCGGAGGTACTGGGGTGAGGAGGAGCGCTGGCTTGGTGGAGCTTGTAGTGATTGTGGAGAGGAGCCCCTCCTCACAGTTACAGGACAGAAAGGAGTACTTGTAGTCGCAGGCCAGGAAAGGAGTAAACACCTCGCCCCTTATCATACCACCTTGGAAGAACTGAAAATTTACAGGTCCCTACAAGTATCTCTGAAAACAGCTGCACAAAACCCCTGAAGCTTGGGACAGTATATTCTCCACATTGGAAGCAGACTCTTACCTTAACAAGAGTTTAAAACTCAAGTAATTGGCTGGGATCATGAGCAAGCAGCGCAAAAAGAGTCAGACTATATTATCTTACTTTGGTGAAAAAGAAGATCAAAATATACAACCAGAAGAAGACAACAAAGTCAAAGCTCCTACATCCAAAGCCTCCAAGAAAAATATGAATCAGTCCCAGGCCTTGGAAGAGCTCAAAAGGGATTTTGAGAAGCAAGTAAGGGAAGTAGAGGAAAAACTGTGAAAAGAAATGAGTTTGACGCAAGAAAATCATGAAAAACAAGTCAACAGCTTGCTAAAGGAGACCCAAAAAAATACTGAAGAAAATAACACCTTAAAAAATAGCCTAACCCAAATGGCAAAAGAGGTCCAAAAAGCCAATGAGGAGAAAAATGCCCTAAAAAGAAAAATTGGCCAAATGGAAAAGGAAGTCCAAAAGATTACTGAAGAAAATACTTCCTTAAAAATTAGAATAGAGCAATTGGAAGATAGTGACTTTATGAGAAATCAGACACAGTAGAACAAATCCAAAAGAATGAAAAATTAGAAAACAATGTGAAATATCTCATTGGAAAAACAACTGACCTGGAAAATAGATCCAGGAGAGAGAATTTAAAAATTATTGGACTATCTGAAAGCCATGATCAAAAAAAGAGCCTAGACATCATCTTTCAAGAAATTATCAAGGAAAACTGCCCTGATATAGTAGAACCAGAGGGCAAAATAGAAATTGAAAGAATCCACAGATCTCCTCCTGAAAGAGATCCCCAAAGGAAAACTCCTAGGATATTGATAGCAAATTCCAGAGTTCCCAGGTCAAGGAGAAAATATTACAAGCTGCCAGAAGGAAACAGTTCAAGTACTGTGGAAACACAATCAGGATAACACAAGATTTAGCAGCTTCTACATTAAAGGACTGCAGGGCATGGAATATAATATTCCAGAGGCAAAGGAGATAGGATTACAACCAAGAATCACCTACCCAGCAAAACTGAGTATAATCCTTCAGGGGAAAAAATGGTCATTCAGTGAAATAGAGGACTTTCAAGCATTCTTGATGAAAAGACCAGAGCTGAATAGAAAATTTGACTTTCAAATACAGGACTCAAGTGGAACATGAAGAGGTAAACAGGAAAGAGAAATCATAAGAGACTTATTAAGATTGAACTGTTTACATTCCTGCATGGAAAGATGATATTTATAACTCATGAGACCTTTGTCAGTATTAGGGTAGTTGGAGGAAAAAATTATATGTATGTATATGTAGATAGATAGATAGAGGGCACAGGGTGAGCTGAAGATTAAGGGGTCATATCTGGAGAATAAAATTAAGGGATGAGAGAGGATTATACTTGGAGAAGAAGAAAGGGAGAGGTAGAATGGGGTAAATTATCTCAAAAAAAACAGCAAAGAAAATTCTCTTGCAGTGGAAGGGGAAACAGGGGAAGGTGAGAGGGAATGAGGGAATCTTATTCTCATAGGATTTGGCTTAAGGAGGGAATAACATACACATTCAATTGGGTATGGAAATCTGTCTTACCCTACAGGAAAATAGGGGGAGAAGGGGACAAGAGAGCAGGGGGATGATAGAGAGGAGGGCAGATTGGGAAAGGGGGTAATCAGAAGTAAATACTTCTGAGGAGGACAGGGTCAAAAGAAAGAATAGAATAAATGGGAGGGCAGGATAGGATTAAGGGAAATAGAGTTAGTTTTTCACAACATGTCTGCTATGGACGTGTTTTGCATAACTGCACATGTACAACCTATATTGAGTTGCTTGCCTTTTCAATGAGGGTGGGTGGGGAGGGAGGAAGACAGAAAATTTGAAACCTAAAGTTTTAAAAACATGTTTTAAAAAAAATATTTTCACATGCTACTGGGAAATAAGAAATATAGGAAATGGGGTACAGAAGTCTATCCTGCCCTACAGGAAAACAGAAGGGGAAGGGGATAAGAGAAGGGGAGAGAGATAGAAGAGAGGACAGACTAGGGGAAGGGATATTCAGAATGCATGACATCTTGGGGTGGGGGAGGGGGGAGATGGGGTGAAAATTTGGAACTCAAAAACTTGTGGAAGTGAATGTTGAAAACTAAAAATAAACAAATTCATATTAAAAATAAATAAATAAATGAATGAAATATTAGAAAAAAAAAAAGAAAGAAAATGAAGCAACTCACCCAAGGTTACACAGGAAATGTCAGGGCCAGCTATGAACATGGATCTCCTAACCTCAAGGCTAATGCCTCCCAGGGCCTCTACTTATTGGCTTTCTATGTGCTTGAAGTGGGATCATAAAGGCCTGGTCCTGAGCACTGAAGCACTGTGAGGTATAGACCTGCATCAGGTTAGGCTTGTAACATCACTCTGATAGTATTCTGGAGAAAGTTACGGGGCTCCAAAGCAGAAGAACACAGGTTACGGCTATGGGGCAGTGGCATGGGTAACAAACAGCTCTAAGTGCTCTTCTGTCTGCATTGGGAATTAGGGACTAATCATCTGAGCAAGCCGCTGGGGCCTGGTGACTACAGAGAACATTTAAAGACTTGCCTCTCCCTTGACCGACATAGTATATAAAATTCTAGAAGCAGCAAATGATCTTACCTTCCTTGGCATCATACCACTTGAAATGCCACATCTCCTCACCCACAACTCTCCACTCAGCTTTGTATTTGAGGATGGGCACTCCACCTGTGGCCTCAGGCTCATCAAAGTGAACCTGTGCCGTGCTGGAATATGGCTCCACTTCGTCAATGGATGGTGAAGATGGAGTATCTGAGGAGAGGACAGAGCTGGTGTTATGGAGGACTCAGATTCCAACGAGATGCCAGGCCTGCATTGTACTACTGCCCATGGCTTCCATTAATCTGAGCTTTTCTTCTTACAGAATATTTTCTCCTTAAAGAGTGTGTTCCTCCTGACTTCATTACCAAGCCATTTTAAAAGCTAGCAACCCTCATGGTATGCAAACTCTGCCCCAACTTCTATAATACTCCATCCCTACTATCCCAAGGGTTCTAAAGCTTTACCTTCTCCTCTTAGGACCTCAGGGCTCTGCTTCTACTCCTAGCAAAAAGAGATCCTTCCTCCCCATTTCTAGTCATTTACCTTTCCTATCTTATTCATCCAAATAGCTCAAATACCTTTAAGATACAAGAGGGATCCTGTGATACTCACCTGCTTGGACAAGGATGAACTCTAAGGACTCTTGACCAATACGATTCACTGCAGTGCAATTGTAGTTTCCAAAGTCATTCTCAGAGTCAGGGGTCACCTTCAGAAGGAGGAAGGAAGGATCTGGGTTATCAGTGTATCATGGTACTGGCTACAGGCATTGCTGGTAATTGATTAGTTTTACCCTATATGGGGTCAGTTTTTTATAAAGCAAAATGCATTGGCTCCAGACTTAAATTAGAGCAGGGTAAAGAAAAGAGCCTGAGGGAGTCAGGACTTCTTTCCATATACATAGGGCTTGGGCCAGGTACCCCAGCCTTGACTGTGTGGCAGAGCTGACTCCAGAAATAGGATCCCTGTGGCTGACGTGGGTCATTTGGGGTCAAGCTCAGGCTTTTCTCTAACCTTACACTGGATGAGCAAGAGTGAGAATTTTTAGTTAGGCTGCATGTCTTCTTCTCCCTCCCTGACTCTTACCTCTAGATAGCTAGCGGAGGGGCTGTTGTATATCTTGATATTGCTGTAGTTGGAGCTTGGCAGCAGCTGCCCATCTCGGAACCAGGAGATGGTGGCGCTGGGATAGGCAAACACCTCACACGTGATGTTGACCTGGTTCCCTTCCCAGGTGTACACAGCCACGGGGCCCTGAAGCTTGGGGGCATCTGCAACAAATGAAGACGTCAACAGCCTGGCAAGTGACTCTCTCTTGGGGTAGTGGGGATAACTACTTGATAGCACCTAACATGAGAGCTGGGGCTTAATAAAAAGGCTTGGATTCAGGGCAGAACTGTCCATCTGAAGAGCGTGATTATTACTTATGTGACCATGAGAAGCAGCATAAACAGACTCAAAGGGAAGAGGGGTTAGTCAGGTATTTGTTTAGGGCTGGCAAAGAGCAAGCATCCTTCTATAACAGCCTGGACAATACATCCAGTCTCCTCCCCAGGATATCAGGAATGTCACCCAGAGATTAAAATGAACATGGTGTCAAAATCCTAGCAATGCTGAATTGTCCATTGCCTCTACGTCCTTGCCCGTCCCAAGCAGTTTCTCACATTGTACTTCGAGGTACATAGCCTGGGAATCCTGGCCAATGGTGTTGCTGGCTGTGCAGATATACTCTCCAGCGTCCGTGTACTGAATGCTCTTCAGTGTCATGATGACACCCGCACGTGGCTGCTTACCACAATATGCCCGTCCAGAGTCTGAGGGGAGGATAAGGGAGAGAGGGTCAGAAAGTGAACTGCATGAGGTGAGTGATAGTAAGAGGGGGGAAGGAAGGGAGAAGGGAGGGAGCAGTCTAAGAGGGTGGAGATTTCCCTCATTTTGATAAATTTTAGATCCTCTGACCCTCCCCCTGCTATCCCTATCCTAGTATGTCTGAGCTGCACATTAAGAAGTTATGGGACACTCAAGATGGCACAGTGTTTTGGGGAATCAGTGAGTATCAATCAGACTAAAACTGGGGATGGGAAGAGCTTCAGGAGAAGGAAAGGAAAAAGAGTCCTATGATCTGTCAATTTGGGTAAATAATGCTCAAGGCATTATAATTATAATAATAAGGTATTATAATACTCGAAAACATACCTCCCACTCTTCTCCCCTTTTTTGAGCGACTGTAAGCTCAATGAGGGCAAGGATTACTTTAGTTTTTCTCTTGGTATCCCCAGGGTATAGCACAGTGCCTAGCCCATAGTAAACAACAAATGCTTGTGGACTGATTTTCCAGTAGTATGCTCATCAATTTCAGTTCCAAAGCATCCTTCAATAGAAAATTATGACATGCCTAAAACTGCTAGGGAAAACCCCATCTTCACAAGATATTTCTGTTTTCTGTCCCCTTCATTTTTCTATCAAAATATTCATTTAGAATTTTTTTAAATGCTGAATGTAGGGCCTAGAGTGTAAGCAGCTCATCATAATATTCATAAGTAGCACATAGTCTTGGGCAAAGAACTGAAAATCCTAATCATCACCATACTCCTCCTTGGAAATGAGATGCTGCAATTAGTTTCTTAAGGTTCCGCAATTATAATTACAAGCCAATAAGAAAAAAAAAAGAGAATTATGCTCAGTCAGAGGATAGTGGGATAGTCCTGAGGGCTTTCTTCTTAAAGGTGTAAAAGGTCAAAATTATTTGGCACAAGTGGGTTTCTGGACATGCCACCTAAGTCTACATCATTAAAGAGGCTGGTATTCCGAAGTGGTGCTATTCTTGGGGTTAAGACAGCTTTCTGATTGGCTGTTACAATGTTTTGTTTGGAGCTTCTAGGAATGAAAGACTGTCCTGACTTTGGGGTCCCTTTGGTCTGCTTGCTTGAGAATGAGGGGGGTGGAGGTTTGGCCTTCAGCAGTTCAGTGTCACAGACTGTCTGCTATTCCCTTGAGCACAAAGGTTCAATGTAGCATACTGGCTTCAATTAGTGATTGAAACAGGAGTCTGATTCGGGGCCAGGATCCATTTTAGGGTTTCATATTCTCTTTGTAAAGAGAATGTCTCTAAAAGATACTGCAGTCAAAGAGATAAAGTATCTTCCACAGAAAAATGGAACATGGGGGTAAAACAATATAAAGAAAATCAGGGGATAAAGTTCAGGCTATCTGGTAAAAAAAAAAAAGGTTAAAAGTAACTTAAAATATAGTCTACTTGGCCTTCTTTCCTTTTCCCAACTTTCTCTGTATAAAAATTTCTTTAATTTCCTACCAACAGATCTTCTGGGTGTACCATATGAGGCAATTCTTAACAGGTAATAGTGATGAAAAAAAAAAAACCCAAGAGAGAAATGGCTATGAGGATTTGTATCCAATGCTTTCAGGTCTCCCTCAGAGAGGATACACAAAGATTTCAGTGCTTCTAGGTTTGTTTCCTGATGAAATGTTTTACTTGGACACCAGGACTAAGCCAGAGGTATATTATTATCCAAATATTTGGATGAGAAGGGAGGGAGAAGGATACGTCAAGGACATGGGAGGAAGGGTTATAACTATTCCTTCTCTCAAACCACTTTCCCATCTCACTTCCTACAAAGCATATGAAAACAAAGCATTCTAGGACCCCACATTATGGGAAAAAAATAGTTTTCTTCTACATTTTGGCCTCTGTCTTTAAACGAAACAAAATGGAGGGGAAGGGAAGAAGCAACACCCAAGTCCCTGGGGAATCATTCACCTGGAACACAATTATGCAAAGAATGAAATATGCTACCTAAGGGCTCTTCTGGAAAACCAAGGGTTCTGCTTTCTTTGGGGTTAAGAGACTGCCATTTATTTAAAATAATAATGCTTTTAGTCCCTCCCCCTCCCTTCACATCTCTACTCCCTTTCCCCCTTCCCCACCAGGCTCAGGAAAAAATGTCCAGGGTCAGGCAGAAGGAGATTTGTAGCTGTCCATAAGTGGCTAACAACTAACAACTCATTTTTCTTCTTTCCCATAATCCCAATAATTTCATGATTGAGGTAATAAATCATCCTGCATATGACAGCACTAAGCAATTCCTGTGGTCAAAGAGGGGAAGCATTTTAGAGAGGAAGTGCACTTAACCACACTCCTTTTGACAGAAAAGAAGGTATGATACAAAAAGAGGACACAACGAATTAGATACAACTATTGCAGCATGTACAAGTGCAGAAATGAATGTTAGTGCCTGGGAGAAGGCAGTAGATTCTAAATATTAAACAGCATTAAATATTTATTTTACCTATGATCTGAACAGGTCAGTCATGTGTCTGTATAGTTATCAATACATCTGAAAATCTAGGAGGATGAATGCGTGCAATTTAGCAAAGACAAGATTTAGAGTTTCCATAGACTGCATTCATAGGGGCTGAAATATCAAGAATATTCTGAAAAAAATGCCAGGGTTCTTTTTGTCATACATGGGTGAAATGGTAGCTGTTATAAAACCTTGACCCTCATTTGAAGCAATCGCCTTTTAGCCTGTACTGCATTAAGATAACAGTACCAATGAGAATGATAGATGTGCTCACAAGTTGGAACTTGGGGATGCAGCATTTGGAATATAATAACTAATACTTGTGTTCACTTTTAGAGCTGTCACAAAGGTCTCTCATAATAATAATGGGAATTTAATAGACATATTTGATTTTAGTATTGGAACTATATACCACATTTCCCCAATAGAAGTAAGAAGCTTCTTTGTGAATCACACATCAAAGCAAAGTAATTTTTTAAAAAAAAGTACACTTGTGTGAAAAATACAAAATTGGTAGCATCAAATTACCCTAGGTTCATGGATTTAATTTTTAAAAAAATAAGATAAATTTGTTGGTTTGGAAACACTTATATGGGTAAATACCTACCAAGATATGCCATTGCACTGTTTGGGGGATGAAATGTGATGCAATCGTTTTAATAAAAGATTTCTGGTAATAAGGGATATGAGCAACGAGATGAGTTGAGCTGGAAGGAACAAGGATAAGCCATCAGGTGACTGAACCATTATACTTTAAGATCCAAAGCCATCTCAGCCAGGAAAGAAGCAAAATGTTCTGTGATTTTAAAAGTGCTGGATCATGAATTGGGGAAATTAGTTTTTGTAAACTTGATTACTAGGATATAATTTCCCTGGCACACCAGGGGGATATGATAGTTTCAAAAATCATAGTCAGCTTTGGAAAACAAACCTTCTCCATCCACTTCCAACACAGCTTGCTTGCTCAACTCCAAATGACACTATTGTCAAGGAATTATCTAAGCTATTGACCTATTCTTTAATCAAACTAAATCACTAATTAGTTGAGTATATCTAATTATTGTAGTAATGTTGGGTTAAGTTATAATGCTTTCAAATGCTAAGAACTGGCTAGTGGTCAGATAAGCTATACCTCTTGCTTCTCTGGTCGAGTCCACGAAGCCTGGAGAGAACAGATATAAAACACAACAAGAAAGCAGTAAAATTTTACAACATGTTGCTTTAGGTAGTAGATGCATCACACTGCATTCCGTGCACATGCAGCTTCCTTTCAATTCAGGACTTTTTTTTTTTTTTGCCAAGGGCCCATTTTCAGTAGTGTGTTCACTTCCCGCTTTGTTTTTTAAGATTTTCTCATTCATTTAAAATTGAATAATCTTTGGAAAGCTAAAAAAATTCCATGATATGCTCTGCTCTTTTGAATTTTGTATCCACATATATGTATGTATGTATGTGGATAGGCACATAACACATTAAACTGCACATTCAGAACATCTATAAATATATCTTAGGGGTGCCATTAGACTGTGTCCAATAGTCCTGAACACACAATCCTGAGATATTTATAGAGTAGGTTTCCTCTCTTTTATTTTATTATATGATGTCACACAGACACAATAATAGTGTTGTGTGCTCATGTGTTGTACAACTTCTTGCATGCATTCTATCAAAAAAATTAAATTAATCCCATCTTATTATAAAAAAGGCAAGAACCAAAGAGAAGAGACATAGGAATGGGAATTATGTCATTCCTAAGACTGTGGGTCAGGATGCTTTGCAGATACCAATTAATGCTACAAAGAGGCTGTTAGGTTTTTCCTGGTGTCGCATGAATGGTAGACAGGCTCACAACAAGACTGTCTTTGGCAAGAAATGCTGGTTTCCATTTTGGAGTGAGCTGTTATCCCTAACAATGCCAACTCAGAAACACTAATGTTTGTATGTGGACTTCTATTCTACCAATATCTAAGTTCTTTGATTAATTTAGAACTTGGGGATCCACTTCACTTAGCCAGGAATCAAAAGTCACCTGCTAATATCACAGCAGCAGTGCTCTTTTTACTGGGTGGTATGGATGAATGAGTACCACTGATGTTCATACAGCAAAAAAAAAAAAAAAAGGAAAGAGATGAGAAACACAGAGATGGAGTCTGTGGAACGTCAGTTAGCAAATGTATTGAAAGCCCACTCTAGACAAGGAAGGCATTGTAGGCAGAATGAGAATGCTAATGTTGTGTTATTTTACATGATCTTGAAATGAAGCAGAAAAGGTGACCAGAGGAACATGCAGAGCCTGAAAAAACACACAATATAGTGTGTGAAAATATCAAACAAAATCACCAGTTCCACATCATTTGGAAGCTTATCTGTCACATGCTAGGGCTGGCTTTCTCAAAAACCTGTGTCTTAGTGCTATCTTTATGTGAGGTAGGCTTTCTATCTGATTCTCCTTGCACTGTTCTGCATCTTTACGAACTAGTGGCCACTAATTGTTTTTTTTTTTGAGGTAATTGGGTTTAAGTGACTTGAACTCAGGTCCTCCTGACTTCAGGGTCAGTACTGTATCCATTGTGCCATCTAGCTGCCCCAGTGGCCATTAATTGTAATAGTATCGTCTGATTTCTGCAGCTTGACCTACTCCCCACATACCTATATGGGATAATAGGCTATGCCTTGGTCTTGGTAAGACAATTGCAATATAGATGTGACCCATTTTAAGAAAATTTAAGTTGCAAATAGCCAAACTCACACATTTCGGTGTGAATTGTTTTATAATTGACATTGTAAAGGAATACATCTATGTGAGGTGACAAATTTAGGAAGAGACATACCATAATGTACCAGACCAAGACTGCTGAATAAATCAGCTCAGGTTGCTACAGGTAGTTCTTCCATGGTTTAAGAAAAAATATATAGTAAATTGGGCTGTTTTTTTATAATCATAGCTAGTTCATTTGTATTATTCAGATATAACCTTTTTTCCACCTAAATATTCAATTCATTAGAACAGTTTGGCTTCTGTCTTTTTTTTTTTCTTGCTCTATCCCTTCAGGAAAATTTTCTTTCCTGGTCTTGTTTCCCCACCTTTGTAATCCTTTTTAAGCAATGCAAATGATCAAGTAGGCTCTTAATGACAAAACTAATGACTTATTTTGAGATTCAGTTCAACTCTTCTGAGTGTTTGAAAAGACAATCAATCATTATTTGAACTCATCTTTGGTATCCTCCACTTTGGTTTTACTTCAGTGCCTCATCCTGGCATGGAGGTGATCCTGGCTCCACGAATGTTACTTACATTAGTGAAGGAAGTGCTAGCTCCTGTAGGTCCTACTAACCTGCAAAGGTTTTGACTATGGCTTGGGACCGCTTAGCTATGTCTGGAGAAGCTCATCAACAGGAAACTGGCCACCAGATGTTGAATGTTTTTTTTTCCATGAAAACTGGAACCCATGAAGACTATCCATTAGGCATTTTGCTTTAGGTAGACTTGAGTATCAGCACTGATTAAATCACTGATATTTCTAGATAATGAAGAAATCTGGCATGTAACACCATATATATTTCGAAACGTGGCAAAATTACAAATGGATCTGGATAGAAGGGGGTGTTATGAAGATGGTATGGAAACATCAACTTACAATGGAACTGAATTGTTGCAAAGGACCCCCTTTCTATACATGACCAGACTAACCATTATGAATATCAATTTAAACTGTGAGAGGTTGTCAGCGTGATCACTGAGGAATCAATTGCTAAACAGTGGATTCTGATCCAATAATCTTGATGATCCAAAACAAACTAATTGGTCTGTTATTTCAACTATTCTGATAAAAAAATCAACTTAATTAGTTGCAATTTGACTAAGTGACTGTCTGGAGATCAATCTGTAAACAAATCAATATACTAGAACCATTTATATGAAAAAAGATTGGGGCTTGCTTAATTCCAGGCTTGTGGCACTTCCATTAAGAAGGCATGAAGTATTTGATTAGGAAGTCATGGACTGCATGATTGTAACCTTAGCTTTTACTATCACTTAAGCTTGATAATAATTATGAGGCTTAACTCAGATGTGAAGCAACAAGACAAAGTTGGTCAGGATCTGGTGTGAAAAAGACTTGTGAGTCAAAGATTATTTCAACTGGCTCATACTGTAATTCACTTTATTAAAGAAAATATTTAATATTCCACTGAAGCAATCAGAATATTTAAAATCGCTATATGTATTAAACTCTTGTTTTTGCTATGTAATTTTTCCTTCTGGGAGAAACACTGGGTAAACTCATTTAAATGGTTTGGCTATATGTATATGTATATGTATATGTATATGTATATGTATATGTATATGTATATGTATATGTATATGTATATGTATATGTATATGTATATGTATATGTATATAGGTGTGTATACAAACATAGATGCGTATACATTACATACACATGTGTTTGCATTGGGATATATGGTATATATTATGTATATGTGTGTGCGTGCATATGTACACACATATACATAACAGAAATATGTGTATATGTGTTATATAACACATATATGTATACACACACATATACATATTCAGACTCAGTTTTCTCCTAGAGGGTCGAATTAGATGAACTTGGCTCCTTCTAAATATGAAATCCTATGATTTTATGATTCTTTCTCTTTCAGAAAAACTGTTTTTGTTTGTTGTCTTTAATACTTCTTTCCTTCTGACTTTTTTTCTTGTCTTTCTTCTTTCATCCATAGCTACATGGCTTTATTTCAAACACTGTTTAAGCCAGCTGTGTAGCTGTTGAAACCAATCTGGGAAAGGTAGAAGATACTTTGTTTAAGATGGGATTGAAGCCCATGAGTAGTAAGGAGATAGTAAGAGTATCCAGTTCCTTTAAATAAATCTATCTGTAGGCCTTCATGAATTCCATCCTGGGCTGCTGAAGAGTATAGGGATTACTGTCTACAATCTTTGAGAAATCATAAAGGATGAAAAAGATTTTGTAAAACAAAATTATGGTTTTTAAGAATTGAAAAATGGGAGACAATCTGAACTATAAACCGGCAAATTTGGTAATAAACTTAGCAAAATTTTAGAAAAAGATTATTATTGTTGTTGTTATTGTTATTATTTTATTTTATTTTTCGAGACTGGGTCTCCCTATCTCACCCAGGCTGGAAGTGAAGTGTAGATGCCAGATTTTGTATAGTCCTATTGAGATTCAGAACTCCTGAGCTCAAGTGATTCACCAGCCTCAGCCTCTTCAGTAGCAAGGATTATAGATATGCACCACCAGTCCTGGTTTAGAACAGATTGTTAAACAGATGGTTTGTGAGCATTTGGAAAATAAGGCAGTACTCATCAGGAGGCAGCACGGGTTCACTATGAACAAATCATGCCAAACTCATCTCATTTTCTTTTTTGATAGATCAGACAAATTCTGTATAAATATTGTATTTGAATTTCAGAAATGCATTAAGGAAAATTTGTCAAAATATCCTTGTAGACAAGATATAGAAAAGTGGGCCAGATGATAGTACAATTAGGTGGATGAGTGGCAGGTTAAATGACTGTACCTTAAAAGTGTTAATTAAAGGTATGCTATCAGCTTACGGAAGATCTCCAGGGATATGCCGTGCAATTTTATACTTGGTTCTGTCCTGTTCAACACTTTTATAAATTATTTAGTTGAAATTAGAGACATGTTTATCAAATTGACAAAATGCTGAAAGGGATAACTGTTATGGTGGATGTCAGAATCAAAATTTTAAAAGATGCTGACAATCTGTAATGATGGGCAGAAGCCAACAACACATGTAATAGGAATGAATATAAAGCCATACATCTGCATTGAAAAAAATCATCTGTACTAGCAGAGGAGGTAGAAAACTTGTCTTGATAGGACTTTATAAGAAAAAGATCATAAGCTCAATATAATCCTGTAGGGTGACTTGACAACTGAAAAAAAAAACCAAACAACAAAACTCATTCAATATTAAGTGTAGTGTCCAGAGTAATATAACAGTATTTCACTATACTATGCATTATACAAACACATTGGAAGTATTTTGTTCAGTTCAGGGCATCACATAATGCCCAGAAATATTAATGGGGAACTGTTGTTTTATCATGTCAGCTGTACCTGACTCTTTATGACCTCATTTACGGTTTTCTTGGCATTGATACTGGAGTGGCTTCTCATTTCCTTCTCCAGCTCATTTGACAGATGAGGAAACGGAGGCAAACAGGGTTAAGTGACTTGCCCAGGGTCACACAGCTAGTAAGCATCTGAGGGCCACATCAAGATGAGTCTCCCTGACTACAGTCCCAGCCCTCTATGCACTATGGCGCCACCTATCTGCTGCAATGGGGATGTTAGTCTGGAATACTTGAGACAATGGGGATATTAGAGTTGTTTTCAAACATCTCAAGGGATGAAACATTGTGACGACAAGTGGATTTATTCTGAGTTGCCTCAGAGGGGCATGGTAGAAGTGACAGGAAGGCAGATTTCAACTCAACCAGTAGGCTGCCTGATGACAGAATGTAAAGTAAATGTGAAGTAAGCTTATGAAGTTTCCATCGAAACTCTTCAAGGAGAGGCTGCGTGGTTATTTGATAGGAGCAATGAAGAAAGGATTCCTTATTTGTGCAAGATGTGAAACTAGTTGCTCTCTATGGTCCCTTCCAGTTTTTACTATTCTAAGGGGAGCTAGGTGGCATGGTTGCTAGGGTGCTGGGCCTAGAGTCAGAAAACCTTGCATTCAAATCCATCCTCAGACACTGAACTAGCTGTGTGGCCCTGGGTAAGTCACTTAAACCTGTTTGCCTCAGTTTCCTCATCAGTAAAATGAGCTGGAGAAGGAAATGAAAAACCACTCCAGTATTTTTGCCAAGAAACCCCAATCGGGGTCACGAAGAGTCCAACACGACTGAAATAGCTCAACAACAACAAATGCGCATAGCATTCTGTCTGATCCAGTCCTTAGTATGTTTCCAAGAAGCCTTCCTTGCTTACATAATGAGTAAAAATTAGGTCTTTTCATCTGCTTGGAACATGCCCCTGAATTTAATGAGGAAAACGTATCATCTTTTATAGAAACTCGAAAGACTACCAGTATTTGGTAATGTTTATATTATGTGGATAAAAGTAAAAAAAAATGAACTTTCACTTTGTCTGGAATTAAATCTGCTTAGACCATTCCTATTACAAGCAGAGACATGATAGCCCATATTTGAATTTTTTTAAATGTCGTCCATAAACAAGATTAAGCATCTTTCATCTGTGTCATTACTATATCATGTAAGGAATCTGACACTCTTCTCAAAGGTAGACATGTTAACAATACTATGTCATGATATTTAGGGGTTTAGAGAACTTCTAACAGTTACTAGTGTTACTTCCCATAAAAGTTAAGGCAATACATATTCAAATAAACTATCATAAAACTAGTGTTATTAGGGTACTCCTAATTATTCAACAGTAAGGAAGACTGGTAATATAAAATGATGAAATATGCTAAGTCACATCAAAAATGATTCCATACTATGCTCAAGGCATATATATGTGTCTCTCTATATTTTTTCATATTTAATGTTTACCCACCATGCTCACGGTTCTATATTGGGTACATGGTTTCTTGTCTCCACTCTACAGAAAACAGATTTACGTTTTTAATCCAGGACTGTCAGCTCATTAAATCAGGCAGCATGGACACAAATCTTAATGATTTTTCTGGTATGTCTTGGCCTATTAATGTATCTCTGACCTAAGACCCAGAGAGTTTTGAAATTAATTAGTTTATGATTTTTCACCTGGGACAGAGATACATTTCAGTGTCCTACTATGTGTGATGACCTAGATCAAAGACACACATTTCCTTGGTCATTTTGGACATATCTATTTACTTTTTTTTGCCTTTTTTTTTCTTTTGGGAGGTGGTGGTGAGGCAATTGGGGTTAAGTGACTTGCCCAGGGTCACACAGGTAGTAAGTGTCACGTGTCTGAGACTGGATTTGAACTCAGGTCCTCCTGACTCCAAAGCCAGAGCTTTATCCATTGTGCCACCTAGCTGCCCCGACATATCTATTTACTAAGCAGCAGACCCTTCAGTTTAAGCCCTGAAACAGACACTCAATCCATATAACAAACATGCTTACAGGTGACATCTGAGATAGAGAGTTAAAAACTACAATTTGAATGAAGGAATTTCTCAAAATAAATACCAAACTTCCTTAATATCATTTCTATGATACCAAATAGCACATGTGAAAGTCCCAAAAATACTTAGCAGTTTTTCAGAGGAGAGTCTAAGTGAAAAGGGCTCTTTGGAACAGTGGGTGTTCTCTTAGGCTATCTGTTGGCAAAGCAGGAGATTCCTTCAAAAGTATACGTGTCAAATGGACATTCCTGACACCATGATTCTACACTATGTTCCCCTCTTTTTTGGTTTTAACTTGGTCCTAGCCTACTCCTTCTAAAGAGTTACCAGCAGTCAGGAAGGCCAGTGAAATTCTATAATTCATGGTTTTCTAGTCACTAAGAAATCCATTACCAATGTTTTACACAGCTAAGATGATTGCTCCTGAGTTGATGACACTATTCTGACTAATTAATAATGATAGCTAGTATTAATATAGTGCTTTAAGGTTTGCAAAGTACTTCACATGTTATCACATTTGATACTCAAAAATTTTGGGAGGTAGGTGCTATTATTATCCCCATTTTACAGATGGGACTGAGACAGTTTGGCTCATACAAAGTCACTCCCCTAAGAAGTATCAATCTGAACTCATTTTCCTGACTCCAAGTCCAGCACTCTACCTAGCCACTGCACTATCTCACTGCCTGGCTAAGAAAAATGGAGCCCCAAAGGACGCGTGAGATGAAACTTGCTAAATAGCATAGAAGCAGTAACATTTTGCTTCAAAATTACATCTTTACTTTAAAATTACATGTCTACATTTGGCCTCATTAAACCAGTAAAGGTCAGATAAAAACGGGGTTACTTTATTTTGGGGGGAGGGGCAGATTACTGATAACAAAAAGTAACTTTCCAGTGGCATACAAGTTTACATCCCCAGAGGTAAATTTTGCCAACTGTTTTCAACCACCTTTTCCATTAAGTGGTAAAGGGGGTTGAAATGTTCCCTAAACCTCCACCGAATACAGTAAAGAAGACTGTGTAACAAATTACGTGGGGAGAAAAATACTATTTTGAAACTGCTAATTATTTTTGCCTTTAGAACAAAATGATATTGATATGTGACCAACAATACAGGCAGACAAAAAGGCGACCAAGGTTTTATGCATACAGTACAGAGACAGCATGAGCATATAATATATAAGGAATAGAATTAGCAGGCTCATTTTGGTCCCTGTGATGAGAGAGAGAAGCAACCTGACACAGTTACTCGGAATGTCAGCTTCTCGGCTTTTCCTCATCTCTCATAGCTTCATAACCTTTGACATTGAAACTGCCCAACCCTCCTCCTCCCAAAGTCTTTCACTTTGTGACTCTGTATCCAGAAGCTGCCTACCTCTTTGCTTATGCAAGGAAGGTTTTGCCCCATTCTGTTGTGCCTGGATTTCAAGGAGGTGACATACTGATAAAGTGGGTTCGGGAAGGCTCTGGGACTACTCTGTGTGCCCTGGTGACAATAATTATGTCTTCCTGCTCACCAGAGAGGCCCAGGCACTGTGGCTGACTTGAGCTGTTTCAAGTCTAGCTTCCAAGGCTCTGATGGCCTGGGAGACATTATACCTTTTCTTCACTGCTGATGTTTCTTGTGGAAGTTCTCCAGGTGATGGAGGGAATGGGGTCTCCTGAGGCCTCACAGGTAAGAGTAATCTGCTCTTCCAATTCCATGGCAGTTTTGTTCTCCACATAGTTAATTTTGGGTTTTGCTGTAAAGAGTAAAACATTTCTGTAAGTTAATCTGAGTTTCATCTTTGCTGCAGTGAACATCATAAAGTACACAAAATGCAGAGACACGTTTCCCATCTTTAATGAACTTACAACCTAGTAAAGGAGACAGTGTGTGCACAGATAACTATAATAGGAGGCAATATTTGGTAAGCATCACATGAGTGGGATAGAAGATAAATATTATGGGGAACTCACAAATGAGAGATCACTTTCTGCTGGGAAGGCATCATGGAGAAGATGACATTTGAAGAATGAGTAAGACCTCAATAGGTAGTGATATACTAGAGGGAGGGCATTTTATGTAGAAATAAAAGTATAAACAAAGAGAAAAGAACAAGGAAAGTTTGGGGGATATAAAGGAGACCAGTTTGTCAAGTGTGAAGGGGTCATGTAGGAAAGTAATATGAAATATCGTTGGAAAGATAGGTAGGGCCAAATTGGGAAGGGTGCCTTGAATTCCAGGCTAAGACTTTAGGATTTTGTCTTCTAATCACTGGGGAATCATGGATGGTTTATAAGCAAGGGAATAACATGGTAAAGGCATTATTTAGGGAATATTAATTTGTGACTGATGTGTATAGGGAAATTGGGAGAGAATGTTTGAGAGACCATTGCAAAAATCTTGGTATGAGATAGTAAGAGACAGAACCAGGTTTGTGTCAGGTAGAATAGAAATGATAGACGCATATAATAGACTACAAAGGAAGAAATGGAAGAATTTGGAAAATGATAAGGGAAGCATCAAAGGTGATTCTGATGTTTTAAATCTATGTGACTGCGAGGATGTTGCCAACATTAATGAAAACAGGAGTTAGAGGACAGACCTGATTTAGTGGGGAAGATGAGTTCATTTCCTAAATGTTTCAGGTGTATACACAGGAATACAAACATTTAAAAGCCAAATTAAACATTAGAGAAAATTGAATTTTCTCAGTTTAAAACAATCATAGCCCGAAAGCACTGAACCTTTCTCATAAGAACGTGATAATACTGGAAAACCTGACTAGTTTCACTCATCAGAGAGGGGAGGGGATTAATGAAAACTCTGACTTCCAAACTGAAGTAGTGAAATGAAGGTGAGATTTGAAGTCAGGAGAGAACTTGATTTGAATATTTGTTTTAGCACTTACTAGTTGTGTGACCATAGAAAGCCACTTTTACAAAGCACTTTTCAAATCTTAAGAGTGCTGTAGACATGCCTTATTAGATTACTTTTCAACAATGATTTTTTCAAATTTAATTACTTTCAAGTTCATATAGTATCTCAAACTAAGCTAAAGTATCCTGCCAGAGTGGATTTTGGTAAGGAGAGGTTTTGAGATCATCTTTTTATTTGTACTAAGATGGTGCTTGTAAAATGCATAAAGGTTTGTTTCCAAAAGTAGTTTAAATATGTATCCATGATTTTATTGACAATAATTTGCTTAGAAAATCATGTTTTGGTAGGTAGTAAAAATATAGCTGTCAATCCAGTGTGATGAAATGGTCACAAATTCCAAACTAAAGAGGTTTTAGTATGGCAAGATTATGTTTTTAGCTTGATAAATTCTCGGTACAGTTGATAGTACGCTGGGTTCACAGAAGACTTGGGTTTAAATCCTGGTTCTGTTGCTTACTACCTCTGAGACCTGAGGCAAGAGACCTTAGGCTCTCTCTGCCTCAGTTTCCTCTAAGGTCCCATCCAGTTCTATATCTACATTTTTATGAAAGATTCATTCCAAGAAGGTGGTAGCTCCTTACTAATATTTTCTCACTGATCTTCACAATCCCAGAAAGATCACTTAGAGGGTAATATTATTTCTATGCCTGTCTAGGCCAAGACCAGCAGTTGTCAAGTTTAAAATCTAGTCAGCCATCCAGTTATTTAAGTGTCTAGTGTGCCAAACACCTAGTTTGATTTTTTTCTATGTTGTTTTGGTGTCTGGAGATAATCAGAGGTAGCCACCAGAAGAACATGAAACTTGGAGTTAGAGGCCTAGGTTTTAGTCCTTACCTCTGAAACAAACTAGTTTTGTTAACTCAGGAAAGTCACTTCAACTTTCTGGGACTCAGTTTCCTTATCTGGAGAAAGAAGGGGGTCAACTAGATGCTATTTAAGGTTGCTTTCTTTTTCTCTTTCCCTAACATTCTTTAATTCTGTATGAGATACAGAATTATAAAACATGATCTACTGTGGATCTGATTTAGACAGACAAGGATGCCTTGGTTTTTAAAATAGAAACAATGGGAAACATGGAGAGGAAATGATCATGACATTTTAGAGCTCATGATAAGATAAGAAGGGGATACCAGGAAGAGTTTAACATGTATCCTAGACATTAAGAAGACAGATTTCATAAAAGTCAAGGAGAAGATACGTGTGATCCTTTGACCTTAAACGGAGGTCTACTGAAGAAAGATGAAAACCTTTCATAAACAAAATGCTAAAGGTGTAGTTGCAAATGATTCCTATAAAAAAGAAAAAAAGATGTCTAAAGAGATGACTGTAAGGAGGATTCTGCACTAGACTTGGATTTTAAAAACAGGATAAATATCAAAGATGGAAATGAGGCCAAATTATAGAAACAAATACAAAAGACTGCTGCATTCCTAAAACACATGTCAATCTTATGAAAAATACAAAGGATGAAAAGAAGGGCTTTTAATACAAGACTATGGGCAAGAAGGGATAGGCTTGCTGCTTGGGGTAGATAGGATGACGGTAAAAAGAAAGACACAAAAAAGCAGAAATTAATTCCTATTTTGTTTTTACTTTATCCATCTACAGAATTATCTTCAAATAAAGAAGGATAAAACAAAAAAATAGTTAAGGAAAAATTGAAATCCAAGGAAATTGAGCTGATGGTAAGACAGCACCTGTCCTAAATGAGCTCAGCCCATCTGGCCTAAATGAATTACATTCTCAGGTACTGAAATAACTTGTTTATGAAGCATGTAGAGCATGGGAGAAGTGCTTTGGAACTTGAGAGAGGCACATGGCCCAATTTTTAAAAGGGAAAGAAAATAGAGTCTTCAAACTAACAGCTAGGGGGCATCTAATGCTTTGGAGGAAAATATTCTGGAAAAACTTTAGAATGGATGAATAAACGCAACATTTCTCAAACTTTGCTTTGCGGAATTCTGAAGTTACAAAAAGTAGCCAGGGGCTCCATAAAGAAAAAAAAAAGCTGCACTGGTATAAAATCATACCCAGCAAACCAGTGTAATTTGCTGGATCTGTTGGAAGTACACAATTTGGGTGTTGATGCAGTATGGAAATTCAATTAATCAACCAATCAACAAGTATTTTTTAAGTGTGTACTGGGTGCCTGGTACTGGAAATACAAAGAAAAATTCATTTTTTTTTTTCCCAGAGGGCCCAGCTGTTAAACATTTACCAACCCAACCCTCTATTGCTCTATAAATATTGCTTGGACTCCATAGGAATGCAGTTATCAGCAGACTGGAGATCTGGTACCCGTAGGTAAATAATAACAATAATAGGCATTTATATACTACTTTAAGACTTGTGAAGTGCTTTACACCTCTTCCCAACACCTGTGGATGTTGCTGGAGGATGCCTGCATTGCAGGTATGGGGACAGCCTCACAAAGGGACACAAAGAAAGAAGGGATAATGTCATGTGTGCAGAACAGCAAGGAGACCAGTTTGTCAAACACAGAAGGCACAAAGAGCAATAATATTAAATAAGTGTGGAAGGGCAATCTGGTTCCAGATTCTCTGTGAAGGGACTGAAACACCAAAGTGAGGCATTCACATTTGATCTTAAAGATAATAGTAAGCTACTGAAGCTTTTTGTACAAGGCAGCAACCTAGTCAGACCTTTTGCTTTAGGAATACTGCTGTAGCAGGGAAAATATATTGCTACTGCAATAGGTCAGGCATGATGTGATAAAAGCTTGAACTAGGGTGGGAGACATATGAGTTGAGAAAAGAGGCTATGAGAGTGATGTAGCTCTAGAAGGAATCACACGTGATAGGATATTTTGGGTTGGGGAAGAGGTGTCGAAGATGATTCTGAGGTTCAAAACCTATGTGACTATTAGAGAAGGACTGGTAACAATTGACCAAACATTTTCTTTCCTGAGTCAATTACAGAACAGTTTCCAAAATGCAGAATGCAAAAATACAATTAGTTGTTGGCGTGTTTCAGCAGAGTGCTTGTAAAATAACCAGTGTGCATTTATGTTATTAGAGATATTTTTGACTCTAATTTTTTTGTACCAATGTCTATATTGAGGATAATTGGGTAAAATCAGGAAGTCTGAAGAGACAGGAAAGCAAAAGTGTTAATAATCAAGGCTCTGATGATGAAATAAACATCTGTAATCGTAGCTCGAGTAACATATCCCGAATTGAAGAGAAATGCAAATATGATAATAGGTCCCTTCCCGAGTAGGTTTATTTCTAGTTATTCCAATGTCGAGAACCCACAGAAGGCAAATGCTCACACAGAGGTCAGAAGAAGCAGTACAAGGACACTCTCTAGGTCTCTCTGAATAATTCTGGAATTGACTGTGTGACTTGGGAGACACTGGCACAGAACCACTCAGCATGGCACACCTGTATCAAAGAAAGCCCTGTGCTCTATGAGCAAAGCAGAATCACAGTAGCTCAAAAGAAATGTGAGATGCACACATTTAGAGCCTTCTCCACTCCAAATGTTCATATGGATTATTTGAGTCCAATCTATAGTAGAGCCTTCTGAGCTTGTATTGCTCTGATCAGCCACAGTTGGGCACACTGTACATTGACCCTGATGCAGTGATGTCATTGTGGTCTTCTTTGAAAATTAAGGATGACAAACATGTGTTATTTTACCCATTTAAAAATGATTTCTGGAGTATTACAAAAACATTCACAGACAAAGCACAGTAAATTTATAAAGAAAAATCTCAAGTTTTTAAAAATCAAAGTATGATAAACTGAGATAATCTCAAGGTAACACTGGCTTAGAAAGTAAAGAACAAAATGAAAA